AGAGTATTGCGTGTGACCTCATGGGAAGCCACTGGAGACTGAAGTCTGCCTTGCCGCCTCTTTTCTGGTGTTGAGCTGGAAACAGTTCGAAGACAGCTCGAGGCTTGGCTGCTGGAGGACATCATTTCCCTGCACAACACAAGGGCGCGGTGGAGCAATCGCTCGAAGCGTCGTGGTAGGATGTTCGCTTTGTGGTTCGGTACTGGGTCCAAATGGCAACATTTGCGAAATTGTGCTCTCACAAGTGCTCCCCATACTATTGATCTATCTCTGATATTGAAAACAAGGAGAATGTTCGTAGGCGCTTGAGATAAGCCAGGAGAGCTGAGGGCGCATCTTCACCTGCCGTCTGGAGGTATTTGATCAACGAGGCTGTCTCGACCTCGAAGACTTGAGTTGTCAGTGGATAATGAATCCACGTCAGTAGGCCTGCCTGGATTCGTGCCAATTCTCTCCTTGTTGGTGTCCATCTTTTCTCAGGGCTTTTCCTCCGGCAGCAGCTCAGTATGCCCCAAATAGGGAGGATTTTGTGGCTGTGAGACAGTCACCCTGTCGTTTGACCATATCGTCCACCTGCTAAGCGACGGCCGCGTCCGAGCTCCGTTCATGGTGCACGGTATGTAAGAGTTATGTCGAGCTGCTGATGCAAGATGGAAGTCCTCGTCGGAAACACTGGCGAGGATAACTCTTTATAACCACGTAAAGACAGCACAAAATAGCCACCAGTAGAAGATCATGAGATGTGAGCATTGAACATGAATATGCTAGGTAGAAACCGGCGTTCAAACGTTAAAAAGCATTATTCTGATGAGAAACTTGTTGCTGATTCCCTCAAGCGGGCTAGGTGTAGAAATGGATGCGGAGATCCCTGTCTTTGGTTATGTTCGAGAGCCACTAATTGACAACGGCGCAGGAGATAAGGGCTTGCCCAATCAGGACGGTGTTACCGTAAGAGAAGAAATTTCCTAATGCAGTAATGCCTGTTTGGGTTTAGACTACACAACAGTCCTTTTTGGCTTTGCCGCTGGATTCGCACCACCATTGCGCTCCATTTTGGGCTATTTCGCAGCTCGTTCACACCGGTTGTACTCCCCCCCTCCCCTTTTCCGTCTTTTGCAGCTCTAGTTTCGATCTGCAGCATTTTTCCGCGCCGTAGCACAGGTTGCTGATCCATCCTAGGCTGTCCTAAACGAAATCCCGAAACAATTACATGGCTCCAAAGACTGCTACGCACATTATGTCCCATCTCAAAGCAACCCGCCACGGCTTCGTGAGCAAGTTCAGGAAGTAAGCTCAGTGGGCAAACTTGTGAAGCAGGTGAGTTCTATCGGTCAAGCTCCGCCAAGCTCAGACCAAGCTCAGGTCAAGCTCAGTCGAGCCCCGTCGAGCTCAGTCGAGCTCAGTCGAGCTCAGTCAAGCTCAGTCAAGCTCCGTCGAGCTCAGTCAAGCTCCGTCAAGCTCCTCAGCTAAGAAACTCTTACATCAGCAGGCTCGACGAAAAGACAGCATGCACCCTAGGTTTTAGGACACGGGACGGAAGCTCACATTCACTAGGCTGCTACGTGGGGTCTCGCCATTTTTGACGCAATAAGACAAACAGATGGTCGATGTTCTTCAGAAAAGGGGAGTCAATACTAATA